CGAACGCATACGGGACAAACAAACAAACAAACAAACATACATTTATATATATATATATATATATATATATAGAGAGAGAGAGAGAGAGAAAAAGACATTGATTCTCTCCCTCTTTCCCCCCTTATAATAGTATCCATCCCTCTAATCCACCTCTGCCGCTAAATAGCGGCCTCCTCTCCTCCTCCTCCTCATCCTCATCATCTTCCTCCTCTTCCTCTTCCTTCTCTTCCTCTTCCTTCTCTTCCTCTTCTTCCCCGTCTTCCTCTTCTCTCATGGCTTCGAAGGTCGTAAATATAATATTTTGTGAATTAGTAGACTAAAACAAAAATTTAAAAAATATAAAAATATTTATATACGTAAGCTTTCAAGATTAAATCAAACATGGTACAATTCAAACCTATGACAGGTAACACGGATGTCGGTGTGTAATACTTTTTACATCGATATCCGTGTTAACTCTTATAGGCCTTTTGTTACGACGGAAAAGCATGCATAACGGTGGGCCCACCTACGTCTCGCCGAGCGACGACAAGTTCGTACAAGTTTTAACTTGCACGCGACGCAACGATTGGCTTCCTATTGATCTGCGCCTATAATTGGTTCGCTGTAGCTCGCGGTTTCGATATAAAAGGAGGGCGTCTTTCACGCGACAGACATACTCCACGTCGGACCTCGGTTTAGATCGGAGCTTCCTGTTATTGAGTGATCTTTTGCTTTGGAGTGGATTGTGACGACCTATTCTGCGTGACTAGTGGTTTTGCGCTTGCTTTGTTAGCGGTCGCCGCTCGCACTCGAGAAGCGCGGTGGCGACAACTGATGTTTAAGCTTTTGGGCATCCCTCCACCTTTACATCTTACGAGATTCCACCCGGACTCGGCCTAAAACGCCATGCTGACGACCGCGATTCTGCGGGACCCTTAAATCCTCCTGACAAGTTTCTCCGCTTGGAGAAACCTCACATTAACGACACGCAAGGTAATATAAATTTATCTAATCGTTTCGAATGTCTCATGAACCTTATCGAGCCGATGAGGAGGACGGCGAAACCAGAACCCAGCCGAACCACTCGGAAGACGAAAATGGGTCACAACCGTCATGTACTACACGAAATTTAAATAACAATCCAGGTAACGCTCGGATTAATGACAAACAACCGCTGCGTAAAGACAGAAACCCCCCCCCCAATTTACTTAGCTCAACGTCTTCACAATTATACAGAGTTCTCTCGCCTCTTAAGAAAGCACACCGGGGATTTCACTATGAAATTCCTAGGCAATCAAATGCGAATTCAATTTTCCAAAGTAAACGATTTCATAGAATTTAAAAATTTCGCTATAAAGCATAAATTCGCATTCCACACTTTCTCATTGCCAGAAAATAAATCTTTTACCGTCACACTCAAAGGCCTGCCTCAAATCCCAACGCAAGAAATAATAGATGAAATGGCAGAACATGGCATTGTAATAAACTCTTGCAGCCAAATTAATGATGACAGTAGTATTTTTGCCATCTACAAAATCAATTTAAGCTCAGAATTCACATTAAATCACCTTCGAAAGATACAATTTTTATTTCATTCTAGAGTATATTGGAACAAATTTATCAACAGAAAAACAATTTTACAATGCTACAGATGCCAGGCCTTTAGGCATACATCATCAAGCTGCTTTAGAAAACCCCGGTGTGTCAAATGCGCTGCGAACCATCTCACTAATGAGTGTGAGAAAAGCCCGGATTTGCCAGCCAAGTGCTGTAATTGCTCCGGTGATCATCCGGCAAGCTTTACAAAATGCCCTGCATATTTAAAATTTTTAGAAAAACGTACTTCTCAGCGTACTCCATTAGGCCCGGCAGTCTCATTAAACGAAAATGTAAATCACGGTTTCGCTAACTCGCAAATAAATCCGGCAAGTACTTTCCAGCAAATTTCAAATCGCCAATTAAACAAAAACCCCTCCCTGCTCCACTCTCCCGCGAGAGCACAGCCGCCTCACGCGGGTATCCTTCCCAAACAGTTTTATAGCCATATAAATAACGATCACTCGCTTTCAGCACAATATAACCAGTAGGTCCACTCAGCGAAAAACTGAGTCTTCGCGCAGGTATCGCCGCGCAACTTTTATTTTGGGTTGGATCCAATGAAATGCAAGACGATAGGAACGTACATATACATATATGTACAGACAATTTATAAGCAATTACATTAGAAATTTTCTTTAGTGATCACTCCTACGAATAATTGCTACTAATAAAACGTTTTATTTGATTCACACATTGAATTTATTGATTTACTGTATCGAATCCATATTATTATTTATCTGTTTTATTACTTGTGAGGCACTTTTCTCAATTCGGTCCTGGATTTAACGTGGATGCTCACGTGATCCGGAAAAGAAGATCAAAGATGCCGACACGAAGTGGACCTACTGGTTATACTGTACTTTCAGTCTCCTATGCAAACATTCTAAAGCATAATACGCATCATGAAATTCCGGCAAATTCCGGCTATCCTCAAAACGATGATATTTCAGATTTTAATAACTTATTGTCCGAAATTCGAAAACTCAAACAACATATAGATATTAAAAACATGCTTGCAGTAATCCGCGATTTAAATGTCAGGCTCTCCACCTGCAAGGATGGCCTAGAAAAGCTTCAAGTGTTTGCCGAGGCAGCAAATCTTATACATTAACACACGATAATCTCGCCGCGTCGGGATTGAAATTTTGCTTGTGGAACGCCACAAGCTTAAATAATAAAGACACGGAATTAAATTATTTTCTAAATTCGCACAATGTCGACGTTGCCCTTGTCACTGTAATATGGCTACATTCTAAAATTAATCTAAATTTCATTGGCTACAATATCGTTCGACTTGACTCCCCACGAACCATTGGTGGTGGCCTTGCTGTGATTTTGAAGAAATCTATCCCGTACACTACCTTCCCACAAGTAACCCTTCCAGTAAGTGAAATTGTAACGGTCAAAATTCTTTCTAATATAAATATGATTGTGGATGCGGCTTACATCTCGCCCAAGGCAAATTTTTCTCCAGATACTCTAAATACAGTTTTTGGGGGTAACCAGCCAATCCTTATCGGGGGCGATTTTAACGCTAAACGTCGCTCTTGGAATAACTTTTCTAATAATCAACGTGGAGTCAGATTATTACACTATCTAAACAAGACTAACATATCAATAATACACAGTGACTCATACACTCATAAACTACCGAGGCAAAACCCAACAAATATTGACATCTTTCTTATCAAAAATTTACCCTACACGTACAAATGCTACACACTACACGAACTTCAATCCAATCATCTACCAGTTATTCTCGAACTTGATAGTACTAATATTATTAAAAAAGATAAATTTATTTTTCATACAGATTGGCAAAAATATACCAATTTTACTAATAACTGGGCAATTAACACTATTAACAGCAAACTAAACAATTGCGAAGAGATAGACAACTGCATTACCAAGCTGCAAGAATTTATTTGGAAATCTTACAACAGGGCCACAAATAAGATAAAATGTAATAATAAGCTGTTTTACTCTGCGCACCCGGAGGCTGTGATTAAATTAGAGAGATCGGTCAAGCTACGTAATTACTACCGTAGAAAGTACCAGAGATCTGGCCTCATTAAATATGAAATTTTCTCAAATACCTTAAATAATCAGATAAAACATCACATCAATGATATTAAGCTTAAAATGTGGGAGGACAAATTAAAAAATTTCAATACTCAAGATCACTCACTTTGGCATTCAATAAAGTCGAGACAAAGAAGAAGTCCTCCTTTCCCACCATTTGTTCTCTCTGATAATTTCATAGTCTATGATAATAAAGATAAAGCTATAGCACTTGCGCAATATTTTCACAGGACCTTCGAATCTTCGCAAAATCGTCCTTCCCCGTTCGAGGATTATGTAAATAGGTATGTTCTTTCATTAGAAAAAGAAGAGATCACTGTCGAAACAAACTTCCTGAGCCCGACTCTGGTGCATTCTATCGTGAAAAAATTCCCGAACAACAAGGCCCCAGGCTCTGACCGCATTACCGCCGTTCAGTTGAAGAGGGCTTTGTTCCGTATAGTACTTCAGTTATATTACATTTACCGAGAATCACTCAAAAGATGTTATTTTCCTTCCGTCTGGAAACAAGCTACGATATTAGCTTTTCCAAAACCGGGTAAATCACAAACATCTCCATTAAATTATCGCCCTATCAGTTTGCTTAGTATCAGTAAAGAGTAAAATATTTGAAAAAATAATACTCGGTCGTATTAACCTTCACATACACGATAACAACATTATAATCAATGACCAATTTGGCTTTAAACCAGCGCATTCTACCGTCCAACAATTATTACGGGTCACAGAATATTTCGCGCTAGAGATCAATAAGAAACGTAACTCAGGAATGATTCTGCTCGACCTAAGTAAAGCATTTGACTTCTGATATGTATGTGGAATGTGTTTGTCGCCACGTGCTGGGCTAACGATACATATTTTTACGAACTCAACTTCCCCCTTCCCTTTTGCCACATGTGAGAGCGAATACCGAGGAGGTTCTCCGGGCACTTCCCAAACCGACTTACTAGCAAGCGGATCTCTTTTCTATTGTATCTCCATATAGTTAAATATATCTATCATTACGTTACTCCGGATTTGGTGTGCTCTACCTATCAGCTCCGATCTTCCACTAATCCCGAAAAACACATCAACTCCGTATGGCACTCAGGCTTGCTCTATAAACTTGGGCAAATGAATTTCCCCATTTATCTAATAAAACTCACACATAGCTTTCTTAATAACCGAACCTTCTCAGTAAACTTCCACGGGGAGCGCTCTTCCCCTCTCCCGGCTTCGGCGGGCGTCCCCCAGGGCTCCAATGCAAGCCCTACTCTATTTAACTTATTTGTGAACGATATTCCAAGGGTCGACAGTACCCGGCTGGCTGTCTATGCTGACGACACGGCAATATACACCTTCTCATGGAGTCCCGCACTAATCACGTCCAGATTACAGCAGCACGTTGATCTCATTTTGCAGTTCTTCCAAGACTGGAAAATGTCCATCAACCCTGACAAAACGAAGGCGATAATTTTTACCCGCAAGAAATTACCGCCTCCCCCCTCTGTACGTGTATTAAATTACAAAGTCCCGTGGGCGTCGCAAGTCAGATATTTGGGTGTCGTGCTCGACTCAAGGCTTGGCTGGGGCCCTGCCATATCAGGGGACCTATCATGAACTTTTGACGATTCCGATTGGAAACACAAGATTCCGCCCGGCGAATTTCCGACTGCGATTCCTCTCACGCGTTTTTGTTATTATGGATTCCGAGCGGAATCGGTTTTCCACGCATTTCTGTAGGAATGAAGCTGAATGAAACGAGAGGAACGAGTAAAATGGACTATTATGACCAAATACAGTGCAGAAAAAATATCTAATAAAATGTCAAATGTATGAAGAAACAAGACTGACAAGATGACAGATGTAAGGAATATAATAATTTTGTTATTAAAAATATTCTTATTGTACAAAATATTGCTATTGTTATATTATTATATGTAATATTATACATATATACATATATATATGTATATATATATACACGTAATAAGCATACGTACATATATGTATACATATATATATTTAAAAAAAAATCATTTTCTTAATTAATAGCGAAGGAAAAAAACTACTTTGGAACAACGGCAAATAATAATTCAATTCATGGAAAAACATCCCGATTTAGCACAAAATCGGGTAAAAGGTCTTGAAGCACGAAAAAAACAGCAGATTTATGGGAGCAGTTAGCAAATGAATTAAATA